GCCTCACCTTTTTTTTTTTTTTTTTTTTTGGTTTTTTGAGACATGGTTTATCTATAGCTTTGGAGCCTATCCTAGAACTAGCTTTTATAGATCAGGCTGGCTTTGAACTCACAGAGATCCGCCTGCCTCTGCCTCCTAAGTGCTGAGATTAAAGGTGTGTGCCACCACCAGGCTATATTTTAAAATTTGTTGTTTCGAGGCAGGTGGATCTCTGTGAGTTCAAGGCTAGCCTGGTCTACAAGAACTAGTTCCAGGGACAGTTCCAAAGCTACAGAGAAACTTTGTCTCAAAAAACAAAAAACAAACAAACAAACAAAAAACCAAAAAAAAAAAACTTTTGTTGTTTCTTTTGTAAGCATTGAACAAAAGGACTTAAAAATCAATCCCTTAAAGTTAAGTTTAGTACGTGTAAAGCTCTGTTTCCTCAAAAGTATATTATAATGTGAAATAAAAAAAGGAATGTGGGGTTCTGCAGGAATTCAAGTGACTTTTTAGTTTTTGAAAGTCAAGCAAAGTCTGTTCAAAAAGGACAGTTTTGTTGATTTTGAAAGAAAAACACCAGGGCAGGCAAGCTGTAAATCCCAACAGTTTCTTAGAGGAAGGGAATGGAGAAGAGAAGGGAAAAGCAGTGTTATCAGTAAGCTAGCATGGAGGTCAGTCATGTAATGGGCAAGCCAGCTACACTGTGAGAACAGGAGCTTTAAAAAAAAGTAAGAGCGCTCCAAGTATCAGAATATGCAAACGTAGACTCTGGCCAGCATTGGAAAGGGACAAAAAGAAGTTAAAAAGAAATGGTTTTGGTTTTTTGAGTCTGAATGGTGGACAGACCCAGCCCAGCCCAACCTCACAGTGGCTTATAGGGAATGCTTCAAAATGTCTTTTAATTGAAATAGTGATAATGCCTATAAGCAGTAGTGAATTATAATAGGTTTTCGATTTTTTTATTTGTTCCTTTTTTCTCTTTAGATCCATTTGGTGGTGATCCTTTCAAAGGTTCAGACCCATTTGCATCTGACTGCTTTTTTAAGCAGTCTTCTACTGACCCTTTTACCACATCAAGTGCTGACCCTTTCAGTGCATCCAGCAATAGCAGTAATACATCGGTAAGTGGCAGGTTTAAAAATTCAGATGGCTAAACAAATATCCTAAGGAAATTTCTTGAATATACAGTGATAGACTGGCTTTGGACTTAATATGTAGTTGAAACTCTAGATCTTCTGGCCTCTACCTCCCTGGTGCTAGGATTGCAAGGCATGTACCACCATGAAGTCAGGCATAGATGACCATTATTCTGTTTTGTTTTGTTTTGTTTTGTTTTGTTTGAGACTTGGTTTCTCTATGTAACAACCTCAGCTGGCCTGGAACTTACTCTGTATACCAGGCTAACCTTGAACTCACAGAGATCTGCCTGCCTGTGCCTACTGAGTGCTGGAGTTAAAGGAGTAGGCTGCCATGTCCAGCATGACCATTATTCTTTTCTGGGCAGCACACTATGTCTCATTCCTGTGTGTGAGTGGTTGCACTATTTGATGAAGTAGAATGAAACCGGACATCCGTAAGTGCATTACTTCTTCCGCCCTCCTTGGGTGTATGTGTATGTACCTTCCTCTTAAGGGCAGAATTCTAGATTTTTAATTTTTGATTTTGTTTTATGATACAGTGTTTCTCTGTCCAATCCTGGTGGTCCTGTAGCTCACTATGTAGACCAGACTGACCTCAAATTGACAGAGAGCCACTTGTCTCTGTCTCCTAAATTCTGGGCTTAAAGGCCTGTGACACTATGCCCTGCTAGATTTGTTGTACAGTGTTTTTTAAAAAAAAAAAAGGTAATATTTGGAGTAAAAAGGGGATAGTAGTGGAAAAACTGTTGAAGTCTAAATAAAGCCTGTAACTGTAATTTAGGTTTTTCTTCTGGTGTTAAATCCTTAGTTTTAGGCCAGGCAGTGGTGATGCAAACTTTTAATCCCAGCACTCGGGAGGCAAAGGCAGGCCGATCTCTGAGTTCGAGGCTAACCTGGTCTACAAGAGCTAGTTCCAGGACGGACACCAAAGCAACACAGAGAAACTCTATCTCGAAAAACCAATAAATAATATTCTTAGTTTTAGTAAATAGGCCATGATTACATGAAATATTAATATTAGAGGTAGCTAGAAGTGCATGTGGGAACTTAGTACTGTCTTTACACCTCTTCTGTAAGTCTAAATCATTTCACACTAAAAAGTTCACATAAGCACTTATAAAGCAAAAGAATTGAATACCATCAAAGCCAGGATACTGGTCACCTCTACAGGACTGGGTAATACAGTCAGTGACATAGGGCTTAGTTAGCATGTGTGAGCTCTGGGTTCAGTACTACCAAAAAGTGACCTGCAGAAGAGGGGTTGGGATTGTGGTTGGCAAGAGGCACATGAAGCCAACTGAGTGTTGGGACCTTCCTGAGCGATGACTGCATAAAACTTGTTAAATTATACATATGCCTCGTACTTTTTAGGATAAATATTTTACAGTCAGAGTAATTATTTTCATTCATTGAGACTACATATAAGGAAAGGGAAAACTGTGTTCCAGATGTTTATATTTTCTAATAAAGAATTGTGTAAAGTATTTTCTTGGGTTTGACAGTGAAATTCCAGCTATGAAATGTTGTCTCTCATAGATTTGTACCATTTCTATAGGTAGAAACTTGGAAGCACAATGATCCATTTGCTCCTGGTGGAACAGTTGTTGCAGCTAGTGATTCAGGTAAAGACATTTGCTTGTCAGTTTTATTAGTGCTCAGCCTTGCTTTTTCTTTAAGAGTTTCTTCTCTAAACATTTTTGCCCTATTAATTAAGACTTTTAAATTGATGCATAATTATTTCCATTTATAGCATGCTGGTAATAGCAGCAGCAAGTATGTGTATCACTTTTTACTTTCCTTACTCATTATCTCGTTTATCATTCACCTTCAAGGTTTTTCTAGACTACGTACTGTGTTCAGTGTCAGTAAAACCAAGAAGCTTTTGCTTTATACAGTGTAGTGTTGAACTGAAAAGAAAATCGGTCAGTGGGTAAGAGCACTTGCTGTATAAGCCTTCAGACCTGAGTCTGAATCCTAGCACTTGCATAAAAAGCTAGATATGACTGCACTTGACTATAACCTCAGCATTGAGGAGCAGAGACGGGTGGATACTGACAGCAGACTTGCTTACTGGCCAGCTAGCCTATTCAAGACGATGAACTTCTGGTTCAGTGAAAGACCTTGTCTTAATTCAATAAGGTAGGGAACAGTAAAGGAAAACATCCAGTGTTCTACCCTGACCTTGCCGTGAACATTCATGTGCAAACCACACATATGCACATGTATAAACATGCACACAAATAAATAAAAGGAAAAAATATTAAAAATTATCAGGGTGTGATGATAACACTTTAAAATCCTGGTTCTCAGGATGAGGTAGGATTGCTATAAGTTCATGGCCACCCTGAGCTACATAATATGAACTACATAGTGAATTTCAGACTAGCCTGGGCTATAAAATAAGAACTTGTTTTTTGGTTGTTTTTTGGTTTTGTTTTTGAAAAAAGGAGGTGCCTGGAGAGATGGCTCAGCAGTTAAGAGCATTTGTTGCTCTTGCAGAGGACTCATGTTCAGGTCTAGAACCTACATGTTGGCTCACAACAGTCCATATTTCCAAGTTCAGGGGATCCAGTGCCGTTTTCTTCCCTCCATGGACACCAGGTGCACATGTAATGCACATGTGCGCATGCAGGCAAAACACTCTTCTACATAAAATAAATCTTAAAACGAGGCCCACATAAATATTCTCCAGTATATTTTATTTTCTTGTGAGCACCTCTTTCTCTTAACCCTGGTGTTCAATCCTATAAAGTGTTGTTTGGCATTTACTCCTAAAGATTTTAGCCTAAGTTCAAAAATGAGTGACTTCAAATGAGTAATAAAAATTGTTTTTAATATAAAGAGGTTCTATTAAAATACAGAGAAAATCTAAGCACGAGGAAACTAAGTTCCAGAATATTAATAACTAACTTGATCAAGGTTACAGTTTATGAAAAGGTAAACCAGTTGACTAGATTCAATCCTAGGTCTGATGGAATCTTAAAACATTTTCAAATCGGGTTGTGGTGGCTCATGCCTTTAGTCCCAGCACTCAGGAGAATCTCTGTGAGTTTGAAGCCAGGCTGATTTACAGAACAAATTCCAGGACAGACTCGAAAAGCTACAGAGAAACCCTGTCTCAGAAAACCAAAAATAAATAAATAAATAGATTCGACTAAGTAACTGCTTTGTTTCCACTCTTCATTAAGACTAAGACAGATAGTAGGCTGGCCACTGCTTGGGAGCACAGGAAATTAGAGGAAAGTAAATTCAGACATGAATGCTTTAATGTCATGTGGCTAGTAGGGTGTGTTATTTTCTCAGGTTGTTGATGTGACTGAGTAGTTTATGATATAGCGTGATTAGTACAAATGCCTTAACAAATTGGATCTCTTATGTTGAACAAATTGTCATAAGATTCATCGTGACTGAATTTCAGGGAATTGGGTTTTAACCTCCAGCATGAGTAGCAAGAATGAGAAATTCAAAGCAGATATGGAACAGATGAGTTACTCTAATGCTGGGTACTAATCACGTTTAGAATTGTGGGCATTCAAAATCAGTTTTTAAAATGAGTAAATTTCTATTTATTTCATATATATTTTTAATTTATATTAGTTAAAAAATCATTGTCTTCTATTACTGCTAAAATATTGTTGTTATGAAAGTACATTAAGTGTTTGAGTTCTTTTCGGCACTTGCTTGCTCCTGGTGGGCAGACACTGCACACTGTGGAAGAAAAGTAGTAAGGAAAAGCCAGTCCAGAACCTATTTCTATATACTCTGTTCTCACTTGTAAGCGTGATTTTTCTACTTTAGATGAGATTAGTTTTGGTACCTGTGTGTGTGTGTGTGTGTGTATGTGTCTGTCTGTCTGTCTGTCTGTCTGTCTGTCTGTCTGTCTGTGTGTCTGTCTGTGTGACTGTGTATAATATTTTACTGGCCCCAGATTGAGGAAATATAGTGTCTTTCCAGGTGCTGATTAAAGTTGTGCCCATTAAGATACGAATGTTTCTTTGCAGGTACATTTTACTTAGGGTATCTCTTGAAGACTGTGAGGTTGACCTTGATAATCTTACATTTAAAGGGTATAGAGGTGAGGGGGAGGTCTTCATCTTAGGATTCTTTGGTAAGCAGCTACTCTTTGGGGAAACTTTTTCTTTAGGATTTTCTGTATGTTTGGTTGGTTGGTTGGGTTGTTTGTTTGTTTGATTGATTTTGGTTTTTCAAGACAGGATTTCTCTATGAAACAATCCTGACTGTCTTCAGATTTACTCTGTAGGCCAGGGTGGCCTTGAACTCACAGAGATCCACCTGCCTCTACCTCCCGAATGCTGGAATTAAAGGTGTGTGTCACCACGACTGGCCATCTCTTTTTATTTTTAACCACAGGTTCTTAGTGCAAATCTATCCTGGAAACTTGAGCAGGTGTGCCTTACCTCCTCCAGCATACACACTCAGATCTGTGCCTGTGACAGTTGGCTAGAATGGGGGAAAACATCTGACAAATTCAAACTGCTTATCAATTGTAGATAACTGTGGAACAAAGTAGAATACATTTATTGCGGTAGTGAACTCACTTCTTGCTGTGGAAAACCCCCTGGGTTTGTGGAAGAGGTAGCATTTGAAATGAGACTTGAATGATGTGTGAAATGTGTGGCTAATGACCCTTTAAAGTGTCTGATAACATTATGAGAGATAATTTGGCCAAGCACAGTGTCATTTGACTGTGATCTTGGCACTTGAGAGACTGATAGACAGAAAAAAAGTCATATGCCATTCTGGGCTGTACTTTCCTCAGAACAAACAGCAATTAAATGAAGTCCATAGGAGCTGTTTGACATGTGTTCCAGAGCTTAAACACCCCACCTTCAACTAGACCTGGTTTGCTCTTGGGTCTTTTACAGCTGGTTTATACAAAGGCATACACCATACGGGATTTTCAGTATGTAACTTGTCTGTTTAGACATCAGTCATAAATTTAGGAATTATTATTCTGAATGTTACCAAACAAAAAGCGAACATGAGATATGGTGTCTTACACTGATTTTTTTTCTTTGCTCCTTTTAGCCACGGACCCTTTTGCTTCTGTTTTTGGAAATGAATCATTTGGAGATGGGTTTGCTGACTTCAGCACATTGTCAAAGGTAATCTGCAGTGATTAATAGGAAGAAACAATACATCATGTTCCATCAAATAAGCGGCCTTCTTATAGTTAGAGCCTTCTCACAAATGTGGATATAACTGTAGTCAGTCTGTAGCAGGGCTGATTACAGATGGATGTTACAGATCAGCTGTAAAGTAATTGAATTTCTATATGTAGGAGGCAGTGATACAGGTGGTTACATTTTCTTCTGAAAGGTCTACTCAGTATCAGAGTTAGAGTTGTCTCTCTGTTTAAATGTTTTTTCCAGTTGAATTACATTTTTTTCCTGTGTCCTTTCTGGGTCATTACCCACAACATTCATTCCGTCCCCTGTATACTTAATTGATTTTATCCTTTGAAGTTATTAGGGTCTGCATCAAGATAAAATCCGGTGCGTGGTGTCTGCCACCTATTGTTCAGCATAGCTATAATATTGATTCAGGCTAAGAGAAAAATATTTGAAGATATGCCAAATTGTCTGTCCCTATGGAACATTTGACAATGTCCAGAGACATCTGTGGTTCTCAGAACTAGGTAGAAGATGCTGCTCATATCTAGTGAGTTCATCCTCCAGTACCCTGCAGAGCCACCATTCCCACTCCCTAGATGTTATTCCATCCCAAAAAGTTAGCTGTGCAACTGTTGAAAAACACTGGCCGAGCACAGTGATGGTAGCCCACGCCTTTAATCCCAGCACTCAGGAGGTAGAGACAGGCAGATCTACAGAACAAGACAGCCAGGCCTACATGGAAAAACCCTGTCTCAAAAAACCAAAAAAGAAAAAAAGAAAGTTTGGCATTGGCCTAAAATAAATCATAATCTGATTTGTTACAGGAAAGCCAATAATCCTCATATGTTTAAAAGTCAGGGTTTTCAAACCAACATTAAGACTTAACATTTGGGGCTGGAGAGATGGCTTAGTGGTTAAGAGCATTAACTGCTCTTTCAGAGGACCTTGGTTCAATTCCCAGCACCCACATGGCAACTCACAACTGTCTGTAATTCCAATTCCAGGGGATCTGACACCCATGGCAAAACATCAATGCACATATAAAATAAAAATAAATAAATTTTAAAAAAAGACAACATTCCACAGGATCAGTTTACTTTTGAAAAATTGACTCTCAAATTATCTTCATAGTTTTTCTAGAAGCCAGTTTCTCTAATTCTTATTGTCTTGCTTATATTCAAGTGCACTGAGACACATAGAATCAGCCATTCTTTTTGTTTTGTTATCATTCAACTCAGATGGTTTTTTTATACCTCAAGAAGTTTTGTATTGCCTAATGCTTACTTAATAAGCCTTCAGTCTTTTTGTTTTGATGTCTGTTGGCTCTTGATAAGTAAAACTATGAGAATACCTGCTCATACAGATGAATTGTAATCCTATTTGTTCTTGAATGTAAAGGATAAAATGTCACTTTGGGGAATTAAAATAAAACTGCTGATACGTAAATCATTCATCTGAATACTATATGACCATGTGTATATCAAACTGTATAAACATTTCTTTTTAAACAAAGGTCAACAATGAAGATCCTTTTAATCCTTCCACATCAAGTTCTGACAGTAATGTGGTCATTCCAAAAACTGTGTTAGAGGAAACATCCACCAAGAGTGAGGATGTACCTCCAGCACTGCCGCCCAAGATTGGAACTCCAACAAGACCCTGCCCGCCACCTCCTGGTATGAGAGTTGGGGCCTTTCCTAGACAAATGTATGCTTTTTCCCTCTAGAAAGTATTGTGTGGGCCTTTCTTACGTTGTTTTGTATTATATAAAGGCTGTGAGTAAGAACCAAGCACTTAGCATAAGCTTGCTACTGACCTCTCCAGCTAGGCATGTGTCCCTTCCCCTACCCATTTAGATAAAGTTTGGGTGAAATCTCTTTGTTTTTGTTTTGTTTTTTTGGAAACCCATTGATTATTATTTGAATAGCAGTTTCCTGTACTCTGGTTTTTAAATTGATTTTCTTGAGAAAAAACAAATATGAAGTCTCTGTAAATCTTTTGTTTTTTTATTTATTTTTATTTAGAAAAAGGCAAGGAAGGAGCAGGCAAGAGTGGCAAAAAGAACTGCTTGCCCTTTAAAACTCATTTAGTTTACAATAGACATTTGTTTTGTTTTGTTTAGCTGGCCTGGAGCTTCCTTTGTAGACCAGACTGGCCATGAACTTGAAACTCTTGAATATCCACCTGCCTCTGTCTCCTGAATGCTAGGTTTAAAGATATGTACCTCCACACCTGGCTCTAGAAGTCTGATTTTAAAATTCTTTATCTGGTCTAGGAACAAATTGTAGTTTTGTTTTGGGTTTTTTTGTTTGTTTGTTGTTTGGTTTTTGCTTGGTGTTGTATTTAGCACTACACCAAGAAAAGGTTTGTTTCTATGCAGAATAAAGTATCTATGAAGACAATTCCTCTGAGTATGGGTAGTGCTGCCAGCTCATTCCTGAGTAACATTTCAGCCCAAAAGTTAGGTGATCACTTTTTTAAGTTTTGTTGGATAATATAACTTTCCCATGGTATTTGATTGAATATCTGTTCAGAACTTATGTAAATGAGTTAACTGCTTCTCATCTTTTAAAGAGAGTCACCTATATCATACATTGTTAGAAGTAAGTTGGTTAGTCTTTATTTTCTAAAGTAATATTTTGTTCATTTATGCTTTTACACCTGTGTGAGTATGCTTTTAAAACCCAAATGCCTTAATTTAGTGTCTTAATTAAAGCTGAGAACAAGGCTAGTGAGATGACTTAATAGGGCACAGGTACTTACTTGCTGCATGAGCCTCGTAACCTGTATTCAGTTCCCAGAATCCGTGTAAAGGTTCAGAGACAGAACAGCATAGTGCAAGGTTTTACTCTTTTAACTCTTTCGGGGAGGCCCACCACCCAGCTCTCAAGTAAACACACACGGAGGCTATTTTTACTTACAAATGCCCAGCTTTAGCTTGGCTTGTTTCTTGCCCGCTTTTCTTAAGTTATCACGACTACCTTTTGCCCCTGAGCGCTTATCTTTCTCTATTTCTGTTTTGTTGTTATTGTTGTTGTTTTCAAGACAAAGTTTCTCTGTAGCTTTGGAGCCTGTCCTGGAACTACCTCTGTAGACCAGGCTGGCCTCGAACTCACAGAGAGCCGCCTGCTTCTGCCTCCCAAGTGCTGGGATTAAAGGCATGCGCCACCACTGCCCAGCTCTTTCTCTATTTCTGTATACCTTTCTTTACTTCTTTCTCCATACTTGCTGTGTAGCTGGGTGACTGGCCCCCGATGTCCTCCTCCCCTTGTTCTCTTGCTCCTCCTCTTCCTCATTTCTCCTTCTATTTATCCTGTGCCTGCCAGCCCCACCTATCCTTGCTCTTGGTCTTGCTATTGGCCATTCAGCTCTTTATTAGACCTTCAGGTGTTTGCAACAGGCAAAGAATCACAGCTTCACAGTTAAACACATTCTCCATAAACAGAAGCAATATGCTTTAAAATAATATTCCCCAACAGAACTAACTTCATGAAGTTGCTCTGGCAACACATGCCATACACACATGTACTGTGGCACTCATGTTCACACACACACCTGATATATAGCATTCACAATAATAATAAGGCTGAAAATATTCAAACGTCCATTACTGTAGAAAGAGCAAAGGGAAAGAATGGTTTGTTGAAGAGGTCACTGGTTAGAGGCCTTAAATTCATATTCCAGGTGGTCCTAGCCTGAGTTTGTGAACCCCACCACACCCCCAATTTTAGTAATTAAATCTGAGACCTCGTGAATGCTAGATAAGCAGTCTGCCACTGAATTGCATTCTCAAGGCTTTAGTATTTTGTTTTTTAGACAGTGCCCCATGTAGTCCAACCTGGTCTCGAACTGAATTCCTCCTCCTCTCTACTGCCACATTCCAAGTGCTAGTATTAGCCCAGGCTTGGTTTTGGTTTTTATTGTTTTTGGCTATTGTTGTTGGTTGGTTGGTTTTTCAAAGCAGGGTTTCCCAGTATAGTAGTGCTAGCTGTCCTGGAACTCACTCTGGCTTCCAGAGTGAACTCAGGCTGGCTTCAAACTCACTGAGATCTGCCTGCCTCTGCCTCCCAAATGCTGGGATTAAAGGCATGCGCCACCACCACTGCCTGGCTTTGGTTTTAATTTCCTTTGGAGTTTTCATTTGTTTGTTTGGATTTTTCTAGTGATACTACAGAGCAAACCTAAGGATTCATAAGCTGTACCCAGAGTCATCATTTTGTGACCTTAAGTCTGTTATTTCCTATATTTAAGCCTCAATGCTTTCGTTGTTGTATGGTAGTTGTGACTCAGATCCTGCCTGCCTTCACAGCACTTTCCGAAGGCTTGTGTAGTGGTATGTGATACAAGCCTCTTTTGTAAACTGTGTTTATGAAAAAATCAATTATGACTATGAGCATACTGCTATAGGAAGAACACATTTGAAGAAACTTAAATTTCTCTCTCTTTTTTTTTTCCCCAAAAAATGTTACACACTTTAAGTAAAACTTTAAAATAAGAGAAAGCTGGGCATGATGGCACACCCCTTTAATCCCAGCACTAGAGAGGTAGAGGCAGGCGGAGCTCTGAGTTTGAGGCCAGCCTGGTCTACAGAGCAAGTTCCAAGACAGCCAGGGCTACACAGAGGAACCCTATCTCGAGAAAACCAATCAAGCAATCAATCAATAAACAGTAGATAAATAAATATATAAATAAATGGTATCGAAACAGTGGGTTATGAATTAGCAGAGCAACACACTGTTATTTGGTCAAAGATTAGTCAGCAGTACATGTATAGACTGTGAACTTCTAAGTGTTGGTCAGTCTCAGCTTGAAGTTTTATAGAAGTGAGGTTTTTGTCAGGTTTTTGTCTTGTTATATTTTACGCTACTAGGCGTTATATATGTGTAATTATACCAGAGAAAAGACAGAAGAAATTTGCCACATTTCAAAATCGCTTATCTTTGCTGCTACTAGTGTGAGGCTGCGGCTCTAGCAGCAGAGGCCAGGCTGTTTATTCTTTATCGATTTTCCTTATTTCTCATTATCTTCTTTAGGAGCATGCTTCTTTAAAGGAAGAAGGACTTAATCTTTGGACAAAATCATAATTCTTGGCCCATTTCCTCTTTTTTGTTTTTGGACTTTATCCGTTTAGCTGCCCCTGGTTTTTGAGAGAGGTGTGAAAACTTTGAGGACAGTTGGTGTGGCCATTTAAGGCAGTATTGAGAATATGCCTTGGACTCTCGCTCTGTGCACTGCCTGCAGTTCTTTAGTGCTCCCTGTGAACATGTTTTGTGTGCTTGTGTTTGCTGTGTCTGCTGGTTAATTTTAATGATTTTGATCCAGGGAAAAGACCCATCAACAAATTGGATTCTTCTGATCCCTTTAAACTGAATGATCCATTTCAGCCTTTCCCAGGCAATGATAGTCCCAAAGAAAAGGATCCTGATATGTTTTGTGATCCGTTCACTTCTACTACCACTACCAATAAAGAGGCTGACCCAAGCAATTTTGCTAACTTCAGTGCTGTAAGTACTGTGAATGGGCTGTTTGGGGGAAAATCTTTGCATTTATAGTTTGAAGAGTTGACAAAGATTTCTTGGTAGCCTTCCAAATTTGCATCATTTTACAAACATACTAAAAATTATCTTTTATTCTTCCCCCAAGCAAATTCTATTTGGTTTGGTTTTGCTGGTTCTTAGATGATTGCATTGCTCAGCTGATTTTAGTTGTCTTGTTTCTTCTAAATAAGTCATTTTATAAACCCATCTTTCAATCTTGGTAACATAAATATAAGTAAAATCTCGACAGTTATTATTTAGCAAATGGTTGCACATAAAGGTGATTTTAAAGTTTGCTGTCTGCCTACTGTTTATAATGCCAGTAACAAGCGTGTCTATTTGTAACTGTATGAGTGTTTATGTACAAAGCTTTAGCAGTTTCTAGAGACTGGTTGGCAATTTCTGCAAGAGGACAGTGTAGGGGTTCTTTGAATACAAAGCCAACTCCTTATTTACTATATTCACAGTCGTTTTCATGGTCTGTTGTTGTGGTTCTTTTGGTCTGTCTGTGAACCCAGTTACTGATTCATACTAAACTTGTGCTCTGCTGTGAAATAAACTGTCATTAAGATCTAAGAATTCTTTAAGAAAGTTGGATAAGTGCTATGAGAATAGCTTAAACAAGACCTTTATGATCATAGAAATGGAGCAGCCATTCATGGAGACATCATATATTTCATCATTGCTCAGATAAAACAAATTTTTTAAAAATGAAATTCTTAGAATAGCTAACAAAATTTAATTTTCCCAGATTTTTTTCTCCACACAAAGTAACATTCATTACCACTGCCTATTCTATAAGAAGAATTTCTCTGCTTATTACCTTTTATCCTTGACTTTGGAGATTGGAGATTGAGTGGCCGAGGGCCCCTGGTCACAGCTTGCCTGTTGTTTTCTTCCTCTGAGTATTACTTGGGTCCCTTCACTAGTTATTTTGTCCCTGTTACTACTCTGTTTACTTAGAAAAGAGATGAGCAGAAATCTGTATGCACCTAAGGCAACTGCAGTACCTACCTTTTAAGTCTATACTCTTAGGTTCCAGGGGCATCTCCTAAGTGTGAAGGGACATGATAGAAATCCCTATTTTTAATATTGAAAAGAAATGGCAAGGCAGAATTATCTTCTATGTCAGGTGGAGGTTGAGTTGTTTGAAGCAGAGAAGAACAAAGAATTGACTTTCTTAGGAGATTGTGATCCTTGTTGTAAAATAACATTTTGGCAGTTTGTGATGTTCAGTTCATTATGTTAAATATGGTTCAGCAAGTCAAAACCTGGTTGGAATGAGTCTTAAACAGTAGCAGAGGCATTCTGCTTATTTCCTGCTCAGAGCCTCAGTACAGTACAGCATAAAGTAGCTAACAATAAAGTCCTCCATTTTCATTGTGAGGGATTTGGGAAGCATACCAAGAGTCTCATGCACACTGCCAAAGCCTTCCAGATCATTTCACTTTTTTTGATGGCCTCCTTGTGTGTCAAGACTGAAACCAAGTAGAGTTTTGTATCTAGTTTCTACTGAAGTTGAAATTTAATTGTAATTACAAATATTTTTTCCAATCTAATCATCAGTATTAAGGTTTTGCTTAAACTGGATCATTTTAGTTATATAAAAGTGGGTTCAAAGTTTTTAAAGATTATCAGAATCTTCAAAATATTTAAAAATAATTTGGTTCATGTACTGTTTAATCTAGCTAATATTCATTCTTATATATAGCAGAATTTACCTGTTTTTGCTTTATAGTTTTGGGGTACCCTTGAAAGGCCAGGTAAGGCAGCTTTTCGTATCACCAGTGGCATTAATATTAATGATACATCATAATGATACATATGGTATGTAATCCTACCACTCAGGACACAGGCAGGAGGATCCTGAGTTTGAAGTCAGCTTGAGCCCATGTAGTGAGATCCTAACTTTCAAAAAAGAAAAGAAGAAAAAAGGTTACTATGTAATAAGTGATCACTAAAGTCTAAATAGCAAGCATTTTACATTGAATTGAAAGACTACACCACTCCTGTTTTTAAGTCTCCTAGTCTACACTAAATATTTCTCCTCTTTTGAGACAGAAAATCACTGTATATCCCAGATTGGCTTCTGATTTGCAGTCCTCCTTCCTCCGTCTCCCAGATGCTAGGACTGAGGCATGTGCCACCATGCCTGTAATTTCTATGTTTTAAAGTGATGCTTTTAATGTTTATTGTATTTTTATAAGCTTTTCTTCCCATAGATTACATTAAAATTTTAAACTCAACCAGAACTCACTAGGTAAAACATATTTTCAGAAAAACAAGGAAGTAACATTATTCCCAGAGTTCTCTAGGTAAAACAAATAGTTAATGCTCTTTTATAAAAAGTCTTCATTATTTTTCTCATTCATTCATCTTTTGGTCTTTTAAATGGCAGTATCCCTCTGAAGAAGATATGATTGAATGGGCAAAGAGAGAAAGTGAGAGAGAAGAGGAGCAAAGACTTGCCAGACTCAATCAGCAGGAACAAGAAGACTTGGAACTGGCCATTGCACTTAGCAAGTCGGAGATCTCTGAAGCATGAAGTCAGCAGTGCTGTTCTTGAATACTGAAGCTATTTACCATGTGCATCAAACTACCTATGAGCATGGGATACAAAACGTTTGAGAGTCCTGTAAATGTGACAAAAGCATAACTTGGTTTTTGGGTTTTTTTTGGGGGGGGGGGGGGTTCTATTTTAACTGTGTCCTTTAATTTTTTCTTCCAAAAGCAGTACCCTAATTAGACAGCTTACTCTAGACCCCTGTTCTGGTGCGCATTTACAGTGAACTCTTGCCTGCTTATATATTTCCTGTAAAGCTAGAGCTAAGCCTCTGCGTTCTGGAACCTAGCAGATATAGTTTTGCGCTGTGCTGCCCTTGTTCTGTAATTCCTATGACAGCAGCTAGAGTTCTGAAGGTGTGCAAGTATTCTCCCTGAGCTGAGTGGTTGGAGGAGGGAAGGGAAAGAGCATCCTGTTACTTTCGATCGGTACAAAACATTAAAAAAGTAAAGTGCATTATATGTACTTCTGGAGAAAATACATTTTGTTATTTAGAGATGGGAACATACTCCCCACTGTTGAAAACTAGTTGAATTAAGTTAAACCATTATTGTTCTAGGCTCAAGTAATTCCTAAATAAAAGCATTAAAGCCTTGTGTGTGAAACACATTTTTAAAACAATTTTTTCTGGACCTAAAGAATTTTAAGATTAATGGCTGCATATTTCCTAGTTTAAAAAAAAAGTGCTTACAAATAAAATTTGTAAGGAAATGTTCATTTTAAGTGCTAGTGAGGAAAACTTGTGACTTAAAATGCAACCTGTTAGTTTAAGCAAACACTTAGCCTGAACCCATCTGCCTTGGCAGCTGCACTGACCTTAGTTCAGAAGTGTCCTGAACTAGAATTGGAAAGTACTTTTGTTTTCATTATGTGTTTTGCTTCTTTAGTGGGGCCCAGCTATTTGCAGTGATTTAATGGAAGAAGTAACACATATCCTCTTGCTTTTTGTCCATATTAGTTGTTTCAATTACTTTGTTTGCTTGCTTTATTTTTTTCACTCATAAAATTGGAAAACTACCCCCCACACACCCAAAATCCTGGTTTTTAAATAGAAAAAAAAATAAATAGACTTTCCAAATTATCAGAACCCTGCCTTTGTTAAAAGCCCATCTTCTGCTCAACTGGCCATCTTCTGACAGCTGGCTTTGAAATGGACTGTGAAGTAGACTATAAATTGTATCTTTTTTTTAAACACAAGTTACTAATTTAGTGTTTTCAACACCAAGATAAAAAAAATGAACCTACAAACTAATTAAAAATTTTAATTTTTAAAATTAAGAAGTCACAAGTTAAGGTGGTATTGAACTGTGTTAACCAGAGTAACTTACTGCCTGGCCTGTAAAGAAATTTACAGTGTCTAATCAGTCCATCTTGAAATGGTGCTTTTTTTTTCTTTACACACACTATTGAATGGCTGGAATTTAAAACAAACTTAAACCACTTTCTTGCACTGCTAACTTTTTTCTACTTTTGTAAATAAATATTTCAGCATAAAGTCAAACATGTGAAGTAAGGGCTGAATCCTAATCCCAAGGCTTTAGCAGTGATAGCTAATCCAGTGGCCTGAGTATTTGCTGCAGACACTGATTGCGAAGGTCAGGCTGGGAGTTGTGGTAGGCAGTGTTCTCTGTTCCCTTTCCTCTCACGCTTCAGGAGAAAGGTAAGTTGACTTGAATAACCTTCTTTTGCACTGAGAAAAGTGAAAAATGTTTGAAATGCTTTTAAAAATTTTAATTAAAGAAAACTCTGGAAATATTAAATATCTGTAACTTATAAACAGCAACTTTTGATGTGCAGTAAAGTTTGCCCTAATCTCCAGTGCTCTTAGCTGAGTCCTAGAGACTCATCCTTGGTTAAGATGTGTATACTCCGTGGGCCAATATCATACTAAAATGTGTATATATTATATAAACATATCTATGTCTTCATGCTTGATTGTATAGGACGAATGTCTTAAGAGTCATTTGTGATGTTTTATGGTGTTGACCCTGGCTTCAAAGCCTGCGCTTGAAATAAAGATGAAGTTTTAACCATCTTTTACCTATTTGTTCAGCTTTATTTGAGCTCTATTCATAAAATTTTTCTCATGTTTCAAACTTATAAATTACAGTTGTGATTATGAGAATAATAAACATTAAGAAATAAAAGGTATACTATCTATCATTTTGCATTGAAGTTTTGCACTGTTTTCTGAGGAGGGACAGGTGTGCCATCAGTATACATTATCCTGTATAAAGTGTTTTGAACAGTATTATCTAGAATAAATAAATGTTGACTATCCCTTTTTGTTATTTTGTCCTGTTTTGTGAAAGGAAGCTAGGAAATGTGTCTACATAGAGATAGAGCCTGAGATCTGTGGTCGTGGCTCTGTTGAGAAGGACCTGTGCCTGTGTTCTTAGGAAGCTCCTGGTCTCGAATCCTGTTCTGCCATTTTTTGAGAAAGTAACTTACAGAAAATTCCTTAAGCCAGACTAGGTGGTGCATGCCTTTAAATCCAGGAGACAAAGAGACCTCTGAGTTCTGACCAGGCTAGTCACATGGCTAGTTCCAAGTCAACCTGAGCTGCATAGTGAGACCTCTTTAAAACAAGCAACAGTAACAACAGAAGAAAGTTCTTTAGCTTCTGGTTCCCTTTACTTCGTTTTCTTCACTAATGAGTTAGACAGTTTGACTTTGGACGGTTTTCTTTTCTCTTTCTTTCTTTTTTTCTTTCTTTCTCTCTCTCTCTTTCTCTCTCTCTCTCTCTCTCTCTCTCTCTCTCTCTCTCTCTCTCTCTCTCTCTTTTTTGGTAGATGGAGGTCTTGCTGTGTCAGGCTAAGCTTCAGTCCAACTCAGTTCTGCCTCATTTTCATGAGTGGTTGGGATTATAAGCATGCACTACCCCATTCAGATTGATACCTTTTTAATATTAGTTCTTTTTCTTTTAAGGAAATCACCACCACCCTGGGTCCTCGTGCTTGCCAGACCAGCACTTCCCCCCTGAGCTCTTCTCCCAGCCTCACATAGTAGACGTGGTGGATGTGAACCCCTATGCCAAGCATTTTGTGTGTGTGTGCTTGTGTTTCTTGTCTAGTCATGGTAGGACTAAGGAGGGACAGTTTTTAATCACATTTTGGAAATGGGGGACCTAGTGCTTAGAAGGTTAAAGCAATATATGTTTGCATAGCTAACAGGTAGGTGAATTAGGAATTGAGTCCTGATCTTTGATTCCAACGTTGTATTTTGCATACCTTCCCTCATTTTGTGTTTTAAAAAAATGCTTATAGAAAATGATAGGAACTGGACATAGTGGTTACATTTTTAAGACCATCATGATCCTCGATGTTTAACAGATATGTGTCTACTTGGTCTTCACTACCATCACTGAAAAGGGCAGGCACTGTCTCATTTTTTCAAAAATACCCAAATGAGAACCCAAGAAACTAACTCCAAAGCTTAACTGCTACTTGTTGTTTGTTCCTAATAGAGACAAACCAGAGCAGAAATGCCACAAGACTTGTGCGGTCACTCGTAATGAGCCCAGTGTGGTGGTGCACACCCTTAATCCCAGCACCAAAAAGGCAGAGGCAGGGTGGATCTCTTGAGTTGGAGGTCAGGCTCGTCTACATAGAGTTCCAGGCCAGCCAGAGCTGCATGTTGAGACTGTTAGGAAAGATGGGAAGGAAGCAAGCAAGCACTGATTCTCCAAGGGCCTAGAACGGTGGCTCCGGTGGTCATGCGCATTTGCTGCTTTGGCATAAGACTAGAATTCAGTTCACCCACACTGATTGCTTATGACTGCCTGTGACTCCAGCCCCAGGGATCAAATGCTCTTTTCTGGCCTCAGATATGAACATACACATAATTAAAAGTAAAATAAATTTTCGATAAAAGTATCATCCAATTAATAGTCTTGTTTACCTTACATGAGTTGCTGACATGAGAATTCAGTTGTTAATTATTAACATTACCCCATAACTATATGGCAGAAAGGCGAGTCTTGCTTTTTATTAAAGGAGTCTAAGTTTAAACCAGGTGATGGTTTATTCCTAAAGGCTAGCATTCTGGATGCTGACATAGGAAAATTCTGGGAATTAAAGGTCAGCCTGGGTTACAAGTTTGAAGCAAGCTAAGACTTTGTCTCAAAAACAGTGGAAAGCAGTGGAGGGAGGGACCTAAAACTATAAGGCCAAAGAACTAACACCAAGCAAAAATGAAGAATAGCCAGTGATGATGGCTCCAGAGGAAGACCTGACTAGGGAAATAGAGGAACTGAGCGTGCGGCTCAGTGGGCAGAATGCTTGCCTGGAATGCATGAGGCCTCTGCTCAATCCATAGCATAAACTGGGTACGATGGTGCATGCCTGTAACTCCAAAACTAGGGAGGTAGAGGCAGGAGAATCAGAAGTTGAAGGTCATGTTTGCCTATATAGGGAATTCAAGTCCAGCCTAGATTCCATGAGTCTCCCATCCCAAATGAGATGGCTCAGTGGTTAAGAGCACTGGCTGCTTTCCAGAGGTCCTGAGTTCAATTTCCAGCAATCATATGGTGGCTCACAACTATCTGTAATGAGATCTGTCATCGTCTTCTGGTGTGCAGGCATACATGCAAGCAGAATGTTGTATACATAATAAATAAATCTTTAGGGGGAAAAAAAAGGAGGTGGTAGATTTAAAAAGTTTCAAGTAGCCCAGTGCAACCATACATTGCATTTGTGGGTAAGGAACAAGATGTCATGTTTCTGTGTCAGATCTCCTTGGTAACTGAGGAAATTGCTTTAGGGAAAAAAGTGTGAAGTCATCCAGTTGAGAAGTTTACCCTGTTATGCCTGAATCCTAAAAGATTAACAAATTATAGGATCACCAGGCCATCATAGTACTCGCCTTTAATCCCAGCACTAGGGAGGCAGAAGCAGGTGGATCTCTGAGTTTGAGACCAGCCTGGTCTACAGAGCGAGTTCTAGGACAGCCAGGGCTACAGAGAGAAAGCCTGTATCGGGAAATAAATAAACAAAACTCATAGGCTCTGAGTAGATGTTAGTGAGAGGAAAGGGGTAACACTAGATTTAGCAAGCTGAGGATGGCCCGGAAGGCATATCAAATGGATGGTTGGAGCCCACTCTCAGTTTATGATCTAGTAGATCAAGTGTAGGATCCAAGGCCACACGTCGTCTGATGTGTATTTGGAAAGGTTGAGTCTCCAAGACACTTCGCATCGGTGGCGTTTTTTACTTTAGTAAATTCAGTCTGCTCTAAGGTCAGACCTTTCTCTAGAAACTTGATTTCATCAGTAACTGAGGCAGCATCTATTAATCGAGTTGACAAGAATAGATGGAAGGACCGGAATGTCACTTTCCCATTACCTTCGTCACTGGATTTTGCCCACAGTAGATTGAATGAGTTCTTCCTTCCTGGTGCACAGGTCCGTCTTGATCTCAGCTACCTGGGTCACGGGCATGGTTTTCTAGATGAATGTGTTGATCAAGCTGACGCCTGGTTTGGCTGGTTGGTTGGCTGTCTATCTCTGTGGAGTAACTCTGCATACCTTTGCTTTTGAGTCATTGTGTGTATCTTTCAGTGTGTTAAAGGGCATCGTTTTAGATCTCAGGAGATAGAATTTGTCATCGAATATGTGCTGCGTCACAAGACAAAAATGAAATCTGATTTTAAAAAATCATCAAGTTCAGGTCCTAGCGTTGTATATGTTCTGCATGAATGAATGATATAAAAATCATCTTGAGCCAGGGATGGTAGTATAATGCCTATAGTCTGAACTGTAGAGGCTGAGGCAGAGGATTGTCTGTATTCAGTACTCAGGATGCACTTTGTGAAAAAAAAATTGACTACCACAAGTTGCCTTACACACTCAAAAATGAGAAAGATTATAAGAAGATAGAGAATGTAATGATCCATTTTAAGAACATGTTGATCTCTGAATAAAGGGATAAATTGGATTTCCCTTAAAGTCATTTATATAGAATACTTTATTTTCTTATCCAGGGTGAAGTTATCACTGAAGGAGGTGCACAGAACACTGTTACCAGAACTGCTCTGGAGGTGGCTGCTCACCTGCATAACGACACTTGTAGTCTGTGTTGTTACTGTCCTGGTTCAGTGGTAAGAAAGGAGGACAGGGAGGTTAAGTAACTGGCCTGAAGCCAAGGTTTCAGCCTAGGCATTGGCTCTAGAGCAAATGGGGGATGGGAACAATATAACTATTCTACCTCAGGACTATTACCAGAAGCCAACTAATAGGAGCTTGGCAGAGTGGCTCCTAAGTGCCTACATCCTCAGAATGTGTATGGTAGGCGGGCAGGCAGGACTCACTGCCTGACTTCAGTCCTACCTCTAACACCCTCCCGGCATGTGCGTTGGACAAACTACTCTCTGCCCTGTCCACCTGTCTCAGTTTCTAAAGCTGAGCTGTGGAGATTGAACAGATGAACGGTTTTGTGACTAAAAGCTGTTGCTACTCTTGCAGAGGACTCTGGTTTAGTTCCCAGTACCCTCGTAGCAGTTCACAACAGCCTGTAGTTCCAGTTCTGGGGACTGGACATGCTCTTCTGGCCTCTCTCTGGGCAGTGTGCAGATGTGGCACACTTAGTACATGCAGCAGAACACCCAGACACATGAGAAGAAACCTTGAGAAAAACTGAGATGTAAAATGACACAGGTGATAGGGCTGCTCTGAAGAGCGAGTTGAGTTTAAAATAATGCCGAATACCGTTCTAAGTCGACACTGAGAAGTGGGAAACACCCAGAAGGTTCAGAACCCTGGGTTGAACCCAAGCTTCTGACTCAATCTGAGAAGCATTTCTAAACTCTTGAGCTGAAGTGTGGGGGGGGAGCACTGACTATTGCCCAGGTAGGTCTTGTTTTCCACATGGGAGCTGGTGTGTAAACCCTCCCTGTAGTGCCTGCTACTGATAACAACTACCTGTGTACCCGTCCCCTCATCCGCTCAATTGTGTAACTAGGTTCCAGGAAAGACAGAGAGGGTGCCTCTTCTGTGCCCTCAGATAAAAACCCAAAGGATGGAGCTTGGCATGGTGGCTT